CAGTGGCAACACAGAACTCACAGACAGTACTCACAGTTACAGGGTTTATTAGGGAAGTTACAAGCTACAATTCAGGTTCAGGAACACATTCAGGATAGAGTTCTTTGATTAGGACAATCTCCCTTCTGGCCCTTGACCTCTCAGCCTGGCCTCTGCTTCTGTGGGCCAGGTAAGCCTGCAGCTCTGTTTTGTGCTTCTTGGTTCCACTGCCACTATCTCTGCACCAGGATGTTTCTCAGCCAAGCAGGTCCAGCACAGGGATTCAGGTCCAAGGACACGCTCCACTTCACCTCCAGCTCTTCTCTCTTGATGGCAGTGAGATCCTCTCTTTGCCTCTGTTGTTGTTATGTGCTGTAAAGTCGGACCCGACTCATAGCAATCCCTTCTTGGGTTTCTGAGGCAGTATCACTATGGAAGTAGAATGCCCAACCTTCTTTCTGAGGAGTGGCTGGTGGGTTTGAACCTACAGCCTTCTGGTTATCAGTCAAATGCCTTAGGCACTATGCTACCAGAGCTCTTTTCTCTGCCTCTAGGAGGATTCATTTTAAGCATTGCAGAGTGACAAAACTAACCAATCCCAACATAAAAGTTCTATACACCTTATTTGCATGGTCCCACCCAGTAATCTGATGGGAGTTACAAGGACCAGGCTATAAAAGCCGTACCAAGTAATTTACTGCACCACACCACAAACCTTCAATTTGTGAAAAACACAGTATCTGCAAAGCATAATAAAGCAAAGCTCAATAAAATGAGGTATGCCTGTTTTAAGGTCTGAGGTTTTGATAAGTAGGGGCACAAGTTTGCAGGAAGACAGAGAAGATGGATCCTGGTACAGAGGGGTTTATATATTTAGTGGTTGGTAGATGAAGCTCTCCTCTGATGGTTTCTATTTCCTGAGTAGAGGACAAGGATGACTCCCAAGGGTGGGGGGTGAGTTGGAGATTTGAGGAGAGACAAGGTGGCAAATAATCGCCTTGGAGCAGGAAAATGAACATACTAGAAAAAAATGGTAGTAATGAGAGCCTATTTGAGATTAAGGTCAGAAATTAAAATGAAATAAATCTGCCTGATTCTACATTCTTTTTTCTTCACCACAATTAATCCTTTGGATGTGGAAGGTGAGTGATTAGGATCATCTAAGGTTAGACGTTAGCCAGATGAGTACATCAGAGGGAGAGGGGTACAAGAGAGTGATTGTCATCTTGGAACATGTTCTCTAAACCAGGCAAGAAGGAAAATGAAGATAGAAGAGGACTGATGGATGTTGTTGTTGTTATGTGCCCTTGAGTCATACCCAACTCATAGCAACCCCTCCTTGGGTTTCCGAGGCAGTATCACTACAGAAGTAGATTGTCCCATCTTCCTTCCGAGGAGTGGCTGGTGGGTTTGAACTGCCAGCCTACTGGTTAGTGGTCAAGTGCCTTAGGCACTACACAATGAGGGTGACAAGTTGTAGTCAGGGTACATGAACAAATGAACTAGAAAATGTAAGAAGTTGTAATGGAAAGCGAGTATTGGCATCCAAACTTTTGTAGGTGTTAACAGTTTGGTGGTGATAAAGATTTGGGATGTGACTATGGGAGTGACTAGATGAGGTGGGGTTTCCTGGAGAGGTCAGGAAACTGAGAGACCAGGATGTTGGATGTGCCCTCCACCTGGATATTTAAGTTGCCAAGAATGATGACAGAAGTTGGGAAGAGACTTTGAGATAGGAACTAAGTTTTCAGTGAATTATGGAAAATTCCAGGAGGTCTGTGGATAGCAGCACCAGAGAGGAAGAAATGGTTTATCAGGGTTGTGAGCAGGGGCTTTTGTAAAACAAAGGGAGAGTAATGGTCTGGAAGTGGCAATGGTTGGCTACCCTATCTGCTGGCCATAAGGTAGCTAGGATACCAGAGAGAAGGGCATCTGACTGCTAACCAGAGGTTGACAGTTCAAACTCACCAGCCACTCTGTGGAAGAAAGACTGGGCAATCTACTTGTATGAAAATTTTCTGCCTCAGAAACCCAGTGGGAGTCACTATGAGTCAGAATCGACTTGATAGCAGTGAGTTTGGGTTTTTTTTTT